TAGCCATTCGTATTTCAAACACTGCGCTTTTGTTCTACAATCCTGCTCGTTACACGTGTCAAGAAACTATGTTTGCAACTCTAATTTTTCAGGTAACGCATGTGCATTCAGGGTCGATGGCACCTAAGGCACTTTAGCAGCAATGCCAATCGAAAGTTGTGAAAGTAACCGGAGTGCAAGAGACTCGGTGATGAAAGTAGATGCTCGGCTTACTGTATCAAATCGTACTAGCGCTGAAACTATCAATTCTTGATCCTCTTTCAAATGATAGCGACAAAAACTGGACGTGCTTACGATCGACTAATCAGCATAACTCAATATTTAAAGTAAGCTAATCTACTTTCTCTCTTAATGTGGAGCAAAATGCAAGGGGAATGATAAAATGTAAAAATAATTGATAGTTTCTTACCTTATGAGATTTAAAAGAGATCGCTCCATTTCACTTAACTGATCCTGGTGAACGGATGACGTGAGTTCGCATATTAATTTCGGCAAGCAAGCAGTCTTAATCGTCGCCATTATCTTTGCACGGCGTAAGGCAACTGCACAGAAATCAGAGTGATTTTCATCAATTATGCAAGTTCATGCTATATCATCCTAAATGATAGAATGATTAATAGATCGCAAAAATTGTTTCGAATGACTATGCGTATTCGAGTGAACAATTGCTTTAATCGCATAATAAGTTACAAGTTAAACGTCAAGGCCTCACGCATGAAAATTTCTAAAGATTTGAGACATAATAAAAACACTCTTGCTTTTACGATAGCGAATATTGGACACTATATACCAAACTATATAATAATATTTATTTATAAAATAGTATATCAAAATGTTTTAACACAAAAATACAATAAATATATTTTATTAATTAATATAAATTAAGAGTTTGTGGCATTCATCACAATAAAATTATTAAGAAAATATATTTATAATATTTAATCTGCAAATATAAAAAAAAATGTAGCATAAATTATAATAAAATCGCTATTACATTTTATGTTCTATTTTTAATAACATTTTCTCGTTTAGATATTTGTTATGGATTTCAATGTGCTGAGAGACGTATATTCCACGCGGAAAGGATCTCGATAATATTGTCAAATAATTAATGCGAGTGAATGCGCGACCAACTGGCAGAATAGCTAATTAACTCTATGCGGGCTGTCGTGTATAACACAATGAATATTTTTTCATTCGAATAATGATATAACAATATACATACGTACATGCATCTACACGAGTGCACTTTTTACGTAACGGCAATTGTAGCAAGAAACTTGAACTTAATTATAAGTAGTTTACAGATGAAGATGTCTTGTGCAATTCGAATCAGATATCTAGTAATTTTATTTCGCAAATCAAGGATTACGTTTTTCTTTTTCCTTGATATAATACGTGTGTATGTTTAATACGTTATATTTTTATACTTATTATTTCGCAATATACATTTTATTCCGCAGATCAAAGGTTGTATCTTGAATTCATTTCAACGTAATAGATTTGCGAAGGCCATGCTATGATCTTTGTGATTTGAAACATAATTAAAAACACTCTTGCTTTTATGATAGTAAATAATACTATACAATTTGAAAATTTCAACTTTTACTTGATAACTATTGGACTCTATATAGTTCAACTCAAACTATGTAATAGTATTTATTTATAAAATAACATATCAAAATGTTTTAACACAAAAATATAATAAATATATTTTGTTAATTAATATAAATTGATCAATATAAAGAGTTTCTGACTTCCATCTTTTTTATATAATATTCTCATTCTTACCGTTATTTTTGTCGACTTCTTTGTTCGAGAGAGCAGGTACCTTGTTGAAAGGTTCTTCGAGCGAAGTCTCAGATTTTCTCACGGCAGTTATATTTCTCTCCGTCGCATTACCGAAAATAGAGGAGATTAGTGCACTATGATCTCCGGCGAAAATCAGAAACATGCCCAAAAATATCATCAAGCGTACCGTACTTGTGTCCATGTTGATTTTCTTTAGGGCAAACTTGGAGAAATTAGAGATAACCCCGCTGGTTTATTTTCTATTCGTCTTTCAATAATTTTCAGACACGCGTCTAATGAAATTAATGTACGAATCCGCTGAAGCAGAAGATCGTATCTGGAAGTATGAAATATCAAATGTCTTAATTATCAGATAAATTTAAATTAATAGACAAACTCGAACGCGTTTGGGAACTTTATTTCATACTATTTTCCACGTTGGATGTAAAAAAAACGCAAATGATAGCGGCGAAACTCGCGATGACTATATTGAAATCCAATTGGCTATTCCATTACATTAAAGCATCAGATACATTACGATTGTGAAATTACACATCGCATCCAATGATGTGAACGTGCAAGCGTCGATTCGCGGCGATGACTGCCGCTTTCGACGATCACGAATTATTACGTAAGCACGTAATCAATCGCATCCCGCGACTCCCGGGAGCGATAAATTCGCCTTAACCTGAATTTTCAAAAGTAATACTGAAACGCGTGATATATATACAAACAAATACCTGTCCGTGGATCCGCGATCGACGCTCAAAGAACAAACGCGGTCGGTTTTCTGTGTGCCTTGAGAAGACTCTCACTCTCCGTTAACTTCCACTTTCTTCGATAATCGCCGCACAGCTCCGCGGCAATAAAGTTAAATCCTCTTACAACGTCCGTCTTACTTTTAGCTGTTCAAAGCCGTTCTCAAAGCTCAAGGCCGGCTTTTAAGCGGCTCCTTTGTACAGTCCCTTGCACAGAACACTTCTGGCATGCCAAAAACTGAAACTATAATTCTTTCGCCGTTACCTCCTCCCGCAGCGAGGAAAAAAGCGAGCGACGCGAAAGGCTTCTCTCGGCTAACTGTAACAACGCCGTAAGAGAACGGCGTACGGAGCCCACTTCTGGGGCGCGTACTTGAAAATGTCGCCGCTGATCAATTCGCGCGTGTGACGCGTATCCCCATCCTTCGCGTAAGCGCGAACAGCGCAATCAGCCCGCTAAATCACGCGTCGACGTCGAAATTTCGGAAAGCAATTAGCTACCCGAAAACAAACGGTCAATCGCCGGATGACATCGCCGACTGAAAATCATGCGCGCCCAACGCCCGCTAAATCAAATCACGCGTAAATCGAAAATCCGCGGATCGTAACTCAGCACCGCGCGCAGTCCCGCGATTATATACGCATAGTTGGGACGAATCTCTCTTTCCATCAATCGAGGGATTCGCCGGTGAAAAATATCCGGATGAAATGTTGGACGTCGAATATCACTATGTCACTAGACGCCCGACGCCCGAGACGCGAACGAGTACACGGAAGAGGAAAACGTCACGTTAATGTGCCACTGGATGCTGCCGCTGTATCACTGAACGCAAACTTCCAAGTGACAGCTCGAGCAAGGCCGCTTCCACCGAGGAGAGCAATATATGCAACACTACCGCGGTCTGTCGAAGTCACGGTATGACTGTGAATGACTCGAAACCACGGCGGCGGACCTAACGAGTTGTCAGTGAAAGTTGGCCGATCGCTCGTACGTCCACGGGATTCGATGGGGCTTGCAGATCTGCAGTTCAGCGATTAGAACGAGCCGGCAAAATACGTACTGTTTTTAACAACGCCCATAATTATTCCGTTAAAAATGTTTTGCTGTAACTTCTTCTGCTCCTTAGCGACAAACAATTCGCCATACATGCGAAAATATTTGTGCTAAATGTGAACGAAAGTGTTGCCGAGAAACAAGTAGAAATTTTGTATGAAAATATCTCGTAAATAAGTTATCAATATTATTCTAATAGTTTTTATCATAATAAATAACTAAAAATAGAAAGCAAACAAAATATTCTTTAATTTTAATCGGTGAAAGTTGATATTCTACAATGTTACCAGTGGAAGCTGACTGTTTCCCCTCTGCTAAAATTCCAGTGAAATTTAAGTAGGATAATTTTATTTTATTCAAAACACATTATATTGAAGCTCTTTATATTTAACCATAAGTAGACGAGCATTTGGAAGCGACCTTGCGACGGTTATATTGGTGTTTATTCAATGACAAGGAGCTTCTCGAAAGCGAGAACGATCGTCTATATGTGTATGCATGCGTGCGGCCTCGAATGTTGTTACTTTACCTTTTCTTTGATCGTTCGACCACTAATAAAAAGCGTCGGAAATCTGAGAAGGCAGAAAGTCTGTAACGAGAAATATATCGAGAAACAAGCGAAACAAACCTACCGACGAAATCTCTCTTCCCTAGTATAATAAAAGTTTCTTTTTACTCATTAATCACTCTGCTTAGATAATTACCCCTACATTTATACTAAATGATAACTTATGACAGTCATATTTACGTGTCTGACACCGTAAAGAGAACCCTCGGGAAAATAAGGACTCCATTGAAACTGTGTCATGCAAAGCAGAATAATAATATATAGTGAGCGGATAATTAATAGGCTAACTCGCATGGAGTAAAATATTGCATCGGAAGATTTCTGTACATGCCAAAACTAATTGAATACTGCCATCCTTTCAAATGAAAGTATGCAATTTAGAAAATACACTATTCAGCAAATGCATAAACGATGTCTCACTAATTTCAGCTCGATTTTGTGACTTTGCTAAAACAATTTTATACCACATTAAATAAATAATTTACGGAAACTAATAATCTAATTGCTAAACTAATATGCTAAATTATTATTATTATTCCAAATATTCCTTATTATTATTTAAACTTTCTACATATAAAATTGTCAATAGAATAGAAATTAGATTAGTAGTCTTCATGATGTCACCTCAAACGCGGCCCAAGATTCTGTGAAAGTCGGAACGGCAAAAGTAATTTTTATATCAAGATTAATTGGTTTCATTGCACTACAAAACTGACAGACTGTAAATTACATGTAAACGTTTTAACACGCGATAGTGCACTCTGATTGCCTTTTTTTCAATATAGATAGTGTTTTCTCTCCCGCTGAGTTTCGTACTGCTTTATTATTATCCTTAATTATTTATTATTCCTTCATTTTTTACGAGCTGGATTAAATGCATATCACGCACATCTTTATCAATACGGAAATACAATTAGATAGCACGTGACGATTAAAATCAGTCTACCTTTTTTTGGCACGCAGATAAAAATTTGAGAAAAAGATCAACATATCTTAATTTTAGTTGATGTTTCAGAAACACGTTCTCTTGCTCTTATCTGAAAAAAATTACACGTCAAACATATTCAAGTAATTGTTACAGAGTGTCCATTGTATCTCAGTGAATATTTACATTTTAATCAAAATTTACAAAAAATACTATTTTTAAATAAGTTTCTGTCTTTTAACCATAAATGTAAATAATTTATACATTAAATATCAACTTGTCCAACTGCAATTATAAAAAATTATTGTTTAAACAAAGAAAAATATATAGTCACACACATATACATACACGCTTTTGTTTTATAAATTTACCTTCCGTGTGTGCACACGGTTATTATTACGCACTCGATATGTTTGATGAAAGATATTCGACGAGACACGATTACGACATTTGCGTAAAATTTATCGCAATTTTTCAACGAAATCATATATTTATTATAATTTTACTTACACAATTTTTATAGCAACAGCAATGTATACGTTGTTGAAATAAATATTACCACATTAGAGTTGCATTATCTAAAACACATTATAATTAATAATGTTTTATAAATATAAAAGATAAGAAAAACTTACAATTTATCTTTGAAATGTTAAAGTTATCCAAATGTGTTATTTTTACAAATTTCCTCGAAGAAAAATTGTAGCAAGACCTAACAGCGATCTGGTGAAAGGTGTAATATTTCTCAAGGTCTCTATGTGAATCTTTCGCATGTTACAACAGGAAGATCGCCGCGAACGCGTTCTGGAAAGTCGTTTAGTATGCCTTTTTCGATCACCATCATGATAATTATGTCTTGACGAAATTCTTTTGATAGCTGCAGGATAGAATTCATAAGATTAATTTAATCTAAAGATCATTTCAAAGACACGCTCAAAATTTAATTTATTATTATTTATTATATATTCAAAGTTAAAAGTATAAAGCATAAAAACATAAAATTTAACATAAAAGGATCAAGTAAACAGACAATTAAATCAGTACACGCGAAAAATAAATTGCAAACGCAACGCATTTGATTTCACGGTTGACCTAAATTAGCGCTCACACGTTTTAAATTTCGTGATATAATATATATTTCGCAGTGCTGCTTTCATAACTTTCTACACGCGAGAAGTTAATTTTCGAACAATTTTCTTGAAGACCCAAGCATTAGATACTATTACGGTGTAATTAATTCTTACGATGTTTAATAACAGATTCCGAGGAAGCTTCTGCCGAAGCACTATTATTTGAATCTGACTTTTGGCGGCGGAGCTGCAGGCGCATCTGCAGACACTGCTCTCCGTTGCCCAGGCGGTCGACTGACAAAGATCCCGTACTTCCGAGGCGGAGGTTCCGGTGGCATAATCGGTGGGAATGACGGTTCGAGAATCTTAAAATCACATTTAATAACATTTCCGAAAAAAACGCAACACATTAATTCTCTCGCTTAATCCTTAAATCAGCTACATCCATATAAAAAGTTCGAAAAACATATATCTGCAGATAAATTAAATTGAATCCTGTCTAATCAACTAATATCATAATCGCTGCGTTTTAACATCAGTTTAAATGTATTTGATAGAAATATATATCAATTTTAATTCACCTTGCATTTCTCGAGCGACTTCGTGACTCCTTCGAGTCGTTTTGAATGTTCACCTTCGCTGGCTGCGATGACGTCGGTTGAATATATAAATTTGTCTGGTTGTTCGTACTAAAAACCATCTACGGTTTAATAATAATTACTGAAGCTGATAAAAATAAATAATCGCAAAATAAATGTCAAGAAACGACGATTACTTTTTCAACGACTTTTTCCAACTTGGAGATTTTACTGGACGTAGTAATCAATTCCGTACTGAGTTTATACATCTGAATAATTAAACAATGTTCACGATATAAGCATTCGATATAAAATTGTTGATGACCATTTATAATTCTTATACTTACTTCATCTTCTAATTGCTTTGTAGTAATTTTTTGCGCATCCGCCTGTGTAAAGTATCAATATTTGCATAATTATTATTAACTATTAAAGAAGTTTTTGTAAAAGCAAAAGTCAAGGAATGCTAACCGTCTTTACGATCACTTCTTCAAACTGCGTCTTTTTGTTTTTCAGCAATACCAATCTGTCTAATTTCTAAAAATAATTTGTAATAAAAAGGTACGTTAAGAATTAAATAAAATAAAAACATTTTCTAACAAGTAAAATAAAAACACATCTCCACCGTTCTCACGGCACAATTAAATGATATAAACAAAATTAAACTCACAGTTTTGTTCTCTGCAACTGTCGTTAACATTTCTCGATTCGACTTTTCAATCCTTTTTATTATCTTGAACAATTAAAAATCTTATTAAAATTAACATTTAAGAAAGCCAATAAAACTAGTTTTAAATCAACTATATAAGACTGATTTTTATTTATAACTATAGAAACTACTTACATTACTGGCATACCATAACGTCACGTAGAACAGGATATACATTAAAATACAAATGTAGACATTATCCAAAACATACGCTCGTATAAATGACTGCGAATGTTAACAACGATAAAAAAGAATTTTGGAATTTTATTTCGGTTTCATATATAATTCATATGCAAGTTTACCTGACGGTCGTAAATGTCAACAAGTTTCAAAATCGGATAGGATCTCGATAGCTGAGAGAAATAATACGGCCTTTGTGCGAACATCTTCAAGAGCGCAATCCATTAGCAAAGTAAAAAGATACGAAAATCAAAGAAACTCAAACACATTGGCAAGATCGAGTGAAAGTCAAACGACGTATTTCTGTGATTAGGTGGAACGGAAATTTCCAGGCGATTTTATGACATCGTGCGTGAACGTGTCTCATTCACATCCATCACGCCATAAGTTAGTCATAAATAGCAGAATGTCGCGAAATAACGTGCTGAACTTCACACGAAGTAAAATAATTTTTATCAAAACATCGGGCTTTATCGGCGAATATTGGCGTGTAAATCACTTTCGATTCGTCGTTCTCTAATAAAGCGCGAAACAGATTTTTTCAAAAACTTTGTTAAACAAATTATAGTATTTCAAATATATTATAATCTCTAATTTGGATAGCGTGTTATTTGCGTTTAGGAATTTCTCAAATTGCGATATTTCGTGCGTTCTATCGAAGCCCTAAAAATCGTTATCGGAACATTATCTCCCCCGTGAGGATTCGTATAATGCCGCCTAACGGATCGCGATAATGTAATCTCTTTCATAAACATAATTAAGGCGTGAAAGAGCGTGTTGAAGCAGGTGACTTCATATACAGCGATCGTTGCATTATCGACCTCTGCGATTGCAGAGGTTACGAAACGAGTGGCACTGGCGATAATTCCCGCGATAAGGTAACGTAATTTCGATAAGTGATAGGCGACGCAAAGCGCATAGAGAGAAAGTTCACGATCTCATCGTAGGTACAATCATTATTATAACAGAAACAGTGCACTGACCGAAGAACGGAATTTCGTGTGATTTTCAATTAAATATAAGAAAAATTCCGCGATATTTTCTGACTTTTATAACGCAACTCGTAATTCATTCACCGAGATGTTACTTGCCGCGCAGCACTTTCGCCCCGAACGACGTGCTTTATAATTTTACGGGCTCGAATTTCAGACGTCAGCACCACTACATCGCGGTCATTAAATGTGCTGTTTTGCGGCCTAAACTCGACAAGAGCCCGCGAGAGATAATAACGTATTAAATCTAGCTTTACGCTGCGCAGGTACTTTCGTCACGGTTTAGTGCCGATAGCCGAACCGTATATTCAAACGTAAATTTAAAATTACGAGTCGGTGGCTACCGAGAAACGGCAGAAATCAGAGTTACGGCAAGTCTAAATTGTTAAACAAACACTCATTGAAAGTTCGTCGCGTCGAGTGCTCTTTCCACATCCCGCTCTCCCGCTCAAAGCAAATTACTAGTCCACGAGGGATACATTTACTTTTTGCGTCAAGCACCGAGTCGGCTTCATCGACATTCTGCGATTAAATACACAAGGATTATCACATGAAAGGCATATAGACCGCTCGATGCAGCGACAAATCATATACAGCCACAACACGCATACACACGCACATGCGTATTAGCATCACGTATGTCCGAATACACGCGCAACTGCGATACTGGGGCGAGACTGGGCCACTTGTCGTTTCCCATGACGCCTTGCGGGCAGGGTTGACTAACTAAATACCGAAGTTAGCCGGGTCCCGAGGCCAGGGTTAAACGGAGCTTAAAAAGCTCCGGACCGGGGAGCTAACGCGCCGATGCGACGCGCGAATCAACTGCGAAAACACTTGAGATCACTTAGAGAGAAATCTCCGCGACATTTGCGGCCCCCGCGACGCGGTCCGCAGCTCCGCCGATCCGCCCACCCTCCCGGCAATGTTTATGTAAAACAGTAGCCGACGAGCGGCGCGGCGACCCTCGAGATGGAAGCGCGATGGAACCACTTGACGCGTCAAAAACGTCAGTTACACATCGGGGGTGGTGCTGCTTGCGCAGGGTGCAGCTGGATGTGGCTTCGGGGGTGCTTTTGTCCGAGAGAAAAGACGGAATTGAGAAGCGACCTGGAATGCCCGGCGTAGAAATCGAGAGGCCGCCGCGAAAGGGCCGCTATTATTTTGAGAAGGGAAATCAGTTTGCTCGAGGGTTTAGAGTTTCGTGTTGTTAGACGTTAGTGTTGCGTTAAATAAACGTCATACTTGAATTAATAGAGACTGACCTTAGAATATTAAGTGATCACTCTCGAAATAGATAAGTCGTACGTGTTTCGTCCTGCTATACATTTGACTGGACTTTTAATTGATTTCCCGTCAAACACTCTACGAGAATGTAATCAAAGTAAAGGTCAACTACGATTCGCAAAGGACATTCATTTATCTTCCTTATCCCTCGAATCAACCCCAAGCTTCGCCGCACTCAACTCCGCACGAAGGACGAACGGCCACGGTCGCCCTTCACGAGCGAGTTATCGCGCGATCGGCGTAAGCGCCGAAGATAAAGGCGGGCGGGCGAGCCGGAGAGTCACGCGGGAGGAAAATTGGTCGGCCACCTAGAGCAGGATATCGCCGGAGGAACGTGAATCCTGGGACGAGGTCTCTCGGTCCTGTGTGCTCCCGCTACGGCGGAGACACGTCGTTTTCGAGGCAACAACATCGGGACATAATCGATTTGCCGTGAGCTCATCCGTAATTCGCCCTCGCAGTCGCAGCGCGACAAGAAAGTCTCGGTTGGCAAAGGCGCCACCCGAGCGAGAAATTACTCATCGTTCTGATTGAGGTTAATTAATTAGATAATTAAGTCCGCCCCTCCACGCGAAGGAGCGAGGGGACGAAGCGCAGCGGGGCACGACGGCGGGACGAGCGACGACGACGGCGGCGTTTGCGGACGGACGAAGGAGCCATCTCGCTCTTCTGTCTCCCAGGAGGAGGCGGTTGACGCTGATCCTCGTTATAAAAATGCTCCTCGTTATTACCGGAACCAGCCTCGCGTTCGCCACCCTCTTATCTCATTAACGTCCCACCCCGTGCGCTCCACTCGTGTTCCGCCGCGGATAAAGTCTCTCGTTCCGCGTAATGAAGAGAAAGTTTGCGCCGCGGCTCGCGTTCAATTCGACGTTTCTTACTCGTCTCCGTCGGGATCGTCAAGAGCGAGCGGTGTTCAATTGCTATCGGTATTGAACGAAGTGCGACAAAAACTCGCGGGGAGGAGGGCAAGATTGAGACACGCCACGGGATAAGTTGATTCATTTTATACGAGTGTATCGTCGTGCGAAATCCGAAAAATCTCTTACAGAAACGCGATAAAAACTTGACGGTAACTCCGTGTATAAAGCGAACGCTTTTTCAAACTTAACCGTCCTCTCGTGCAATTCTTTGTTATTCTCGCGGCGAGGCCGACGAAGTAAGCCAGCTTATACGTACAATCCCGCGTACAGAGGACGTCAGAGCGCGAGGTGGACGAGGGGGGAAGTTTAGAGCGAAAACCCGGCGCGTTCGATAAATTTTCATGTCACCTTTATCTGACGGTATTTCACGAGCGCTGGGGGTCGGCCGCGTATGAAAGAACTCTTTACACGTGACACTTAACGAGAATCTCATAATCTTGCGGGAACGCGGCTCGCTCATCCCCTTTCCATCTCCCACCCTGAAAATCCCTTTGAAGATCTACCCATTGACGCTCGCGGTTTAATATTCCGTCACGGATATTAATGCTCTCCTAGCAACGACTCCTCGTAAATCAGCGAAGCCCCCATGCTGATGCACTTTTCGCCACCGGTTCTCGGCGTTCTCTCACCAACCTCTCCTTTCTGCGCGCGCGCGCGCGCGCTGTAGAGTTCTGCTTTCTCTTGATATCTCTGTCTCGTCTCCCGCGAGATCCTCAGATCTACGAGGACAGTCGCGTTGATTGAGGATAATGCGAGATACCTATTACTCTCATCCTGTATGGAGAATTCATTAATGGGAAAGAAAAAATGCAACAAAGCGTCTCTTACGAGCCGTGGCCTTTTGTATGACGAAATGCCAGCAAGCATTTCCGTCATTGTACTTTGATGTCGCTCCACGAGATAACACGCGACGGGGAATATCTACGGAGATTTGATTCCAGTGGAATCGTAAAAAGTCACGTAGATAAAAGAGACGCTGTCGATCAATGCGCGCAATGTGACATAAGTACGCATAATGAGTTGAATAAAATGTTTCACAGTTCTCCATAATCAATAGTTTTTTTTTTTTTAAATTTAATACAAAATGCGTTAAAAATAATTTTAAAATCAGTTTTTGGTTTCTTAATTAAGAGTTTCCAGTCTGTTAATTAAATACATATTCATGTATATTTTTATATATACCATTGCTAAAAAGGTTGATGCAACTACAGATTTCTAAAACGTAAAATGTTTGCGTGGAATTATTTCACGGTATTCCGATTGCGTTATGAATAATAATATACGTATTAATTTATTACTGCTTTACTATTTATATGAAGATATTCCCAAATATATATGCAATATATGTAAGATAAGATTTTAAAATATTATCGTCTGAACAAAAAAAAATAGAAAATATACTTCAATGCTGTTATCATTCACATATCTTATATATACATTGTATATTGATAAAAAAAATCTTTTAAAATTTCTTTACTGATTTAACTGATTGTATGTCATCGGCAACAACGCGTTCGATGTATGATAACTCGCATTGAGAATTTATTTTCATAAGAACATCATCGCGCAAAATTATTACGGTTCGTGCACCGAAAAATATATTCCGCCTCGGCTTTCCTCGATTTCGCGTGCCTTACGAATAGAAAAGGATGTTCCCTTCGAGTCCCGATGTGCCACCGAGCATGAAATAAGTGTACACACGAAGTCCTCCCGCACCGGTGCGAAGGGGCGCGAGGCTTTACACGGCGGTCGCTACGATAAAGCGAATTTGCGCAGGGGTGAGGGAAATCGAGGGAAGGTCCTCACTGAAAATACGATTCCCGTCTTCTTTCCTTCAATCGAACGGGGGATAAGAATCCCTTACGCACGAATTGTTATAAAACCATAAAGATGTAATCGCAGATCAGGGTATCGCGAAGTCTTGCTTGGAAAATTATTGTTCGCAGAACTCGACGAGCAAACATGTGTATGATGAGAGTAAAGTTGGTAGAGAGATAAAATGAAAGATAAATAAATTGAGTACCCTGCCCATATTACGTAGAACTGAAAGGAAATGGGTCAAGTCAAATCCTTTCCTGATTCCTCTCTTCGATCTATTACAGATTTCTTAGTTCAATAAAAAGAGCTATTATTTTTTATTAAAAAGAAGAAATCAAATTACTTCAAATTAGTTGGCATTACGTTCTAACATTATACAACATACATTTTATCGTTTTATTCTACAGAAGTTTTAATAACTTAATAATGATTAAATTAATTACGAATATAATTACCTGAAAATAATAGATAATTATATAAAATTATATATAATCAATATAATTATAAAATAAATGCAGTGTGATCCGCAGTAATTATTCAACAGCCAAAGTTTCAGCAGCTAAAAAAAGCAAATGCGCATTTGAGAATCGCATCGTGCATCTCTGAATCATCCCTGAAATCGAATCCAAAAGTGATTTCACAATGAACACTTGCTCGCTCGGTTGTCATCCCGCACGATGTCGCCGCACCTACTGTAAGTCCACTATGCGTAACGCTGCGCCAGTGCCCCCGATTGTCCCGCGCGCAAGTGTCACGGGTATCCTGTCAGTCAAGGATCAGCGAACCGTAAGGTGGAGCATTGTACGAAAAGTATAACAGAAATGGAATTGAGGGTGTTGCCGAATTCCGGTCCGTGCGTAGGGTGGGTCGGCCACCACCGTTTTCGACTGTGTACACGCGTGCATAGATCGTGTGGGGTGGCTCTGATTGGACGTCACTCGAGGACACGTCAAATCGAAGAATATGCTGTGACTTGAAATTAATTTGAGTGGTTTCCGCAAGACTGCCCCGCCGGAGGGCCACGCGCGTGCGTTCCTGATTAATTGTTTTCGTCCGGTCACGAACTGCAAAACCCTTCACGAGGATTGGACCACTCCTCGTGGTGTCTCAGAAACGCAGATGCCAGCTGTGCGGTGGGAGATGTGGTGGGATGATTTCTAAAATGCAAGTGAGATGCCCTGTTTATACGTTTATCAGTAAATGTAAATAAGCGTTCGCAACCGCTTATCTTGCGTAATTCGATCTTGAATATCTTATCAAACATATATGGTGTAAAAGTGATAATCCCGGTGAATAATATAAATAAGAAAAAGAGATTTCATGATATAACAGTTTACACTTATATATGCAAATGAGCAATAAATAAAGGTTCCATGGTGTAATGGTCAGCACTCTGGACTTTGAATCCAGCGATCCGAGTTCAAATCTCGGTGGAACCTTCATTTTTGCTAAAAATTATTATTACGAACAATACGAATAAGTTAAAAATTTAATTACATGTAAATGAACAATAAACAGAGGTTCCATGGTGTAATGGTCAGCACTCTGGACTTTGAATCCAGCGATCCGAGTTCAAATCTCGGTGGAACCTTCATTTTTGCCAAAAATTATTACAAATAAATTAAAATTTTAATTATATGCAAATGAGCAATAAACAGAGGTTCCATGGTGTAATGGTCAGCACTCTGGACTCTGAATCCAGCGATCCGAGTTCAAATCTCGGTGGAACCTTCATTTTTGCTAAAAATTATTATTACGAACAATACGAATAAATTAAAATTTTAATTATATGCAAATAAGCAATAAACAGAGGTTCCATGGTGTAATGGTCAGCACTCTGGACTCTGAATCCAGCGATCCGAGTTCAAATCTCGGTGGAACCTATATTTTTGCATTAAAAAGTTATTTGCACTCCTGTTATTGCATATGCATCTATTGATGTATCGTTCTAAATATTTTAACATCTTATTAGCTACTTAGTATCTGTAAAAAGAAATCTGTTACTAATATGTAATCTAATCTTCTTTCTTCCGAATTTTAATTTTAATAAAAATATTAACTATGTTAATACTTAATTAAATAATAAGATATATTATTTCTATCATGTGACAGTTATGATTATAATAATAAAATCATTTATACATATGAGCAACTTCTTGGCGCACACTTTCTTCATTATTGCATTTATATTATTAATAAAATGTAGTGAAAAATAATAATCCAATAATAATAAATGTAGTGAAAAATAATAATCCAAGAAAACATTATGTGAAAGAAAAAATTAACCTTCGAGCCGGATTCGAACCAGCGACCTATGGATATCTGTATAACATATTTCCAACTACAGTCCACCGCTCTACCAACTGAGCTATCGAAGGCTTCGA